TTTTTTTTTTGGGGACGGGGGACGCGCGCGTTGCGATCCTGCCGGCCGGTTTGCAGGAGAGCGACTGGCGTGGTGTGTCGTCGGTGGCCGTCCTCGTCGGAGTGCGACGGAGGATGCGGGAGCGTCGCAGGAGCAAGCGGGACGGACGCCTGGCGTCGCGTTCGTGCGCGCATTGATCTAACTGCACCTGCCGCCTCCGACGCCGCTCAAGAACGCGCGCGACTGGTCCAAACCGCTCGGTTCGAACCATTTGGACCGCCGGAACTGAACCATCACCACCAGGGTGACCATCTATCTTCCATACATACAGCCAGGACCTTCCACTGTTGAGATAGGTTCCACTCTAATCCTCCGTAGTTTATTCATCAAATGTAACAACCGTTTCTATTCACATCCACTGCGAACATAAACCTCGCAAGTTCTATTATCTTTTCATACTTAAACTTTTTTTCTCAAACACTTATCATAATCAAAACTTGTACACAAATCGAATAACAATTGATTTTCATATATTTATGATAATTTAAATGAAAAACCTAAACAATTTTCAACTTCAAATATATCTTCTTTCTTTATCTATCTTTACACAGTAAATTCTGTATACAGTGGAACCTCGCTAAACGAGTTTAATCCGTTCCAAAATTTCCAGATTTTTACTCGTATAGTGAAACATATTCAAAAATACACATTATATGTGTACACAAGTTTTAAATCCGGGACTTCTCTTCTCATCGTCACTCGTTATGCGAAACGTCGCTCGTTAAGCAAGTCATTTTTTTTACAATTAATTTTGCTTGTTCAGCGAAATGCTTATTATATGAGATGCTTGTTAATCGAGGTTCCACTGTATAAGATAAAAACAAATATGTATGAGGGAAGGAATCAAATGTCACATTCTTATTAAAAAAAAAAACAAGTATTTGTTTTCGAATTAGATATTTGAGTTACTTGAACGAATTGACCGTCATAGCTTTAAACTTGCACTATTTCAAATGTTAATGAATAAAAACAAATATGAGCAAGTAAATTTTGATTTGAAACTTTTTGGGGCTGACCGACCGAAGCGACACTAATAGAATTATATATATTTTTTTCTTTTCACTTTTTCCATATGTTACGAATTTTAATTTTTAAATTTTAAAAATATAAATTCAAGATCTTTTCACAAGTCCCCAAAAAACGTCTCACATTTTGTGAAGCGATGATGTGGATCATAGATGAACAACTTTAAAAGAAAAAACGGAATTCGAATCTCAACTTGTCTACGAAATCGATTTTATGAAAAAAAAAATATTTCATACTGATTTTTTTTTGAAGGAAACAGAAAGAGCAATTTCTAAATTCGCGAGAAATCTTGCTAAGGATTTTTGAAGTTTGAATTATCGGGGCCTAATATATTGTAAAAGAAAAAATCATAAAATTTCCAGCTTTTCCAGTTTACAGTAAAATAAAATATAATGTAAGCCTAAACATGAACCAAGTACTTACTCAATGAAAAGAAAATGAAACAAAAATGTTTGAACAACTAAATCGTTTTTGATCTAAAGATAATTAAAATTTTAAAAAAATATTTGTATTTAATATCTTTAAAAACACACTAAAATTAAGTTGCTTATAATTTTTTATTAAATTTCAACAATGAAAAATATATGAACTTACACGAGTTAAGTTCATATATTTTTACATAAGTGAATTATAGTGACTTAGATCAATGATTCTCAAAGCGGGGATCGCAAAAAAATATTTGAAGGGTCGAAGAAAAATTGATTACAGTCCGTTGAAAATAACATGTAACATATTTGTTTACCCATTATTCGGTAGGTCGCAAATTTTTTTTAAAGTGCAAAAGGGGTTTGCGGTCCATAAAGTTTCAGAAACGCTGATTTAGATTTCAAAAACTAATCAATTTCTGTTATACATTTTTTATTTTCGTTACGGCATAAAACTAATTATTTATACTCATAATTATCGTTTAGGATTTTCTATGTTCTATGCTACATTTTTTATAAATTACATTTTATTTAAGCAACCTTAATTCAAGTGACATTCTTTAATAAACGACAATTTAATATGTTTTAATGCTTGAAAGGTTTTTTACTTATTTATACTGCAAAACATAGAAAAAAACAGTTTGACATGATTTTCCGAATGTTTTAATTCAAAAAGCTTGAAAGCAATTAAATATTTCAACCACAAAATTAGTTAAAACTTTGCTACTAGTCATTTTATTAAAGTCCATTAATGAATTTATATAGAAACATCGCTCGCTACAAAAATGAAAATTATGAATCAACAACAATATTTTTTATTATGTGATAATTCAATTGGCAGAAGAAGGAAATTTGTCGGATAATAACATTGTAGCAATTTATATCCAAAATTATTCTTCATAGTAAAAAATAAACCAACAATAAGTATCAAATATTTTGTATACTTTTTTTACCATTTAATACGAACTAGTTCCATTCCAAAGGGTTGTTTGTAAATAAAATTTGTTTGTAAGTCGGGGGAATTTTAAAAATTTCAAAATATACTTATCTTACTGCATACATTTGAAAACAGATTAAAATAAACAAAATATTTACTTACAAATACTTTTCAATGTAGACATCAGAATTATTTAATAAAAAACGACAAAAAAACAAATGCACCAAAACAGATAGTACATCTTCCAAAAATATTAGATTTTATTGATAATTTGTTATCAATTTTTTTGGACATTTAATTTTTTTATCACTATATATTTCCTTGTAACAAGTTAGATCTTTTAGAATTTTTTTCGTAAATCCGGGAATTCGTAAGTCGGAAGTTCGCAAGTAGGGGGATACCTAGATTAGATTAGTTCATAAATCAAATAAAAATATTGATAGTAAAAAAATGTTCCTAGTCAGTTTATTTTCAACATTATTTTTTTTTTAAACCGTGTAAAACCGAAAACGTGTAATGAAAGTATTGTGTAAAACTGTTGATAGGTGTGTATATATAATATAAGAATTTAACATATCCTGAGCCATAGTGTATAAATAATATATGGTATATATATAAATTGTCGATAAGTTTAGTAATATATCCGTTTAATATTCGTTATTTTATAATCATTAATTTTCATTGTTTCTTATCGAAAAAATAACTATTAATAGCACATTAACAACTTGTTTTTTAGTACCTTTTTCAATTTACATTTTATTTTTTTGTAATCTACATTTCCTTCCTTTTGTTAATATATTTAATGTTAAGACATAATACTCGAAAAAATCGTAGCGTTTTCATCAGTATGTTCTAGTTAAAAAGTATTAATATATTAAGAGCTTCTGCTTTTATTAACTCTCACATGAAAAGTTCTTTTAAATTCAACATTCTCGAAAGTACAGCATTGTAATCATTATAAAGTGGACTTTCGAATTTGTTCGAATAGCTTGAAAGTTAAATAAAAAATATTTTAAAATTGGTTTTAAAACAGAAACAAAAATTGTGAAAATACAAAACAAAATAGACTGTAACAAATGAGATTTCTTTCATTGGTCTTTTTTGGCTCCGCTTCTAAAATGACGTCAAGGATGATGCGGTTTGGTCGAGAAACTAAACTGCTCAGAAAACTCGTTAAAAATAAGATATTTCCAAGAAGGACTAAGAGGAGATGAACGATCGCAGGTTTTAGAGGTGATCCTAAAAGAGGAGACCCAACGCCAATCAAGCGATGGTGAGGTTAACAAACTATAACCCTCGACTAGTTGATTTCATATGAAAAAAAAACGAACAATTCACGTCTCATTAAATAGTAGTAACGAATAGTATTGATTGATGATTATAAATTATATTTGATATAAATAGTTTTCATTTGTGAAATCAAATATAATAGTTAATTCAAGCAGAAAGACCTATGGTCAATAGCCCTTTGTATCAATTGACTTTTTTGAAATTATATATATTTATTTTGTTGTTTTTATTTCTGTACATGTTTTTTTTTGTACGACTGATGCAATAAACATTATTATTTTTATTAGATAAATCGTTATTAAATAAAACGAAATTTATAGTTTGCTTTCAATTTATTTAATTATTTATAAAATAAAATTCAACTGATGCAAAGTGCTGTTGACCATAGGTGGGGCAAATAATTTTCATTTTGTTATTCATTTATATTATTTTGTTTACTTGTTCATTTTATGTTCTTTTTTGAATACATATGGTCAACGAATTATGATTCTTATAAAATGTTTTTTTATTAAGTAAATATTTTATATTGGACACTATTAAAAATTGAATTATATTATTTGTCATGGATAAATTTAATTTTGAAACTCAAACTATATTCTGAATCGGACTGTCTATATATATTTTAAAGTCACGCAAGTTCTTTTTTGATATTCAATATTTACAAAACTTGACTATTATATAATTATATCTCCTAATCGACTAGTCGTATTGCGTAACTGTATTTGGAAATAATACAAGTTACTTAATAAAATAATCACATTTATCATTATGTGTTAAGTTTTATGATTATAGAAAATAATTGATGTTTCGTCACTTTGCATTGGTATTGTATGTGATGGATTTTTCTATGTTAGTAAAATTATTTTAGGTTTTTTTTAGTGATACATGCTTTTGTTAGCAAACGTTATTTTATGAAGATCAGCGGTTCTCAGACTTTAAAACATTGAATCAATATTTGAAATTTTTATGTTTAAATTTTAAAAATATAAATTCAAGAACTTTTTTGCGACTCACTAAAAATCGACCCTTAGTTTGGAAAGCACTTATGTAGATTATAGAAAAAAAAAAACAGGAACTCAAATCTCAACTTGTCTACGAAATGTAGATAAATTATTATTTCCTAACAAGGTTGTGCAGGAAACAGAAAGAAAATGTTCTAAATTCGCGGGAAAACTTGCTCAGATTATTATAAGGACGCGGTAATACTTAATGAAACCTCAGCAAGTTTGAATTTTCTCGGCCTAATGCATTTGAAA